TTGTCAGGAATTTCAGCTTGAACGGTCATGATTTTACAAGCATACCAAATATAAATGTTTTTGTGCTGATCTGCAGTAAACCCAGCAGCATATCAAATTTGCTTCCAACCTTCAAACAGTAACACTTGAGGTTGAGTGCTTGCATGAGAACATAGATCAGAATAATAGTTTAATTATTAGCGCTGAAAAACAACAAGGAGTCTGGTGGCACCTTAAAGACTAACAGATTTATTTGGGCATAAGCTCAAATAAGCCAGACTCCTTGTTGTTTTTGTAGATACAGACTAACATGGCTACCCCCTGATACTATTAGCGCTGAGAGTTTTCATTCTTAGGTGAACATTACAGCTCTTCTTAAACCAAAAATAATCCATTGTAGGTTTCACAGGATTCTTATGACACAAGAATTAGTTTCAATTTGAAAATATTTTCCATTTACATTGCAAAAGCAGTACTACAATTTCATGATGGCCTTAAATTATGCAAACCTCTACAGGCTTATATTTTAAAGAGAGAAATACATTGCAACTATGACACTTTAAAGCATAATGCTCCCATTATAAACAGATATCATTAACAGAAGATGTATTTTTCACATTAAGGTAGTAAACAAGAACATGCAGGATTCTTGGCATATATAATACTAACCACTTCAACACCCACCCCCGTACAATTAGACCTCTATGCAATTACATTTTCCAGACATGATATTTGAGATTAGAGATAATATACTGCATACAAGAACCTACCATAAAACAAAGAATGCTAAAACTTGCCATGATCTGGCTGTCAGCTTCGTAACTTTGCTATTAATTTTCCCTTCTGCTAGTATTTGAGGCTTAAACACACTTACATTGATTTTTTTTCCCCCAAACCCCAAACCACTTTGATAATTTTTGAGACACACTTGAAAAACGTTCACAGAGCCTGGTAAGACTGAGATGGCTGCCCCTGACCCTGAAAAATAAACCAGCTTCATATAAAATATTTTCAGACACTGATTTTCACCAATAACATGTGACATTTTTAGTGTCATGAAGAAATACTGGCGCATTAGCCATTCTCAACCAGCATGGTCAAATACTTTTTATGGACAGCCATCAAGTGGCAGATGATGGGAAATGAAGTAATTCATGCATACAAACCTGCTCATTCTATGCATAACCCTACCATTTCTGAAGCATCTGTACTAGCAGGTAACTTCTGTTGTGGACTGTTTCTCCAGTCTAGCAATATCCCCCTTCCCACCTTGCTCCACACACTCACACCCACGCACAGCTAAATCCCTGCTAGAGATTCAAAGATCCTTCCATTTCAGTATGTGGCCTATCAAATCAAACTAGGAGACAGACCTGGGTTCTCAGCCGTGCTTCCACATTGATTTGTTTTGACTATATAATGCACCCTATGTAAATACTAAGCTTTATTATTTTTCACACGTACCTCTCAAGGCATCAGAGTGATTGTGTTCTGCTTCAGGAGAGCTGGACACAACCCCACTGTCCCGAGTTATTATACAAAGTCCACTTATGCATGTGCACTTATGTTGTGGGCACAAGTGACATCATTTACAAGTGGAACACTTGATGGTGCATACACAAAAGGGGTTCTGAGCACGCAAATTCTATTCTATGCATCCAGGTCGTTGCATTTGGGAACGGGCACACAAACAGAGGCAATATACAGAAACACCCACAATGTTTTGCTCTAACGGGATTGATCATTTTAGTGTTGCATGTTTCAAGCCAAGTGTTGCCCGCACACCATCTTCCTGACCAAATATTTCACTCTAGGGCTAGACTTCCATTTTCCATGCATCCCACAAGGGCCGGGTCTTCCCATTGGGTATGAACTCGGTCTCCACCTGCATGCAGTTCAATGCCCAAAACTCTGTGTGCCCAATCACTTGTGCAGGCAAATGATGGGGTTTGTGCAGGTGTGTGAAGTGGAGCTTTTGTACTCAAGTGAGACCGCCCAGACATTTGGGAGGAGATGGCATGCACACCAACAGAGGCCACATTTTAAAACCCGGCTGTGACAGATCTGACCACCCCTTTTCCAAAAACAGACTGAACATATTTCAACGGGGAAAGGCTCAGAAGTATTTTAATCTGTAGCTCTATTACCAGCTAACTGTATTGCCAGCAGCTCAGCGGTTAAGCAGTTCGAAACATTTATTTGTAGATATGCTTGCATGTCAAACTCAGCCAGTTTTCAACACACGTTGCTACTCTTGTGACATACCAGAAATGCAGATCTGACTAGAACCACAGACAAGGATGACGCGGACATCCAAACAGCCTTTCCTGCAAATGGGGCTCCCTGTGCTGATGATCTAAGAGCTATGTTTTCTTCTGCTATTACTACAACTGTGCCTTTCTTTGACACAATGTGTCAGCAATGCAGATAGTGTCTGTGATATGCTGCAGCAGTTGGCTTTAGCTTTACCATCGAGTTTGGATTTCCCAGGTGAAGGGTCTGGTCTGGTCAGCTAATACATTCCTCTGAGTGCATGTCAAAACACGGTCCGCTTGCCTGTCGTAGGCTTACAGCTTCCTACTGTTCTACAAAGTGCTCAACCATGTAGGTGTCAAAACATATTATAGACAGAGGCAGTAGCAGTACTCCAGCTAAGAGTTCATGGGCTTTTTCCATTTTAAACGTTGGATTGGAGAGGATCTTCACTCCGTCAGTCTAATAGACCGTTTCATTGGCACACAAGGTGCCAACCTGCATGCTCATATTAAAAAAAGCTGCTTAAAAATGTAAAGTCTTTTTTTAATATACAAGGGCAAACAAAAAGTCATTTGGATCAGACTTCAGAAACTGGGGTTGTTTGTTGTTGTTTTCATAAGGGGTCATAACAGAGTCAAAACATTTTCAGCTAGATTAGTGCTAGTTGATATTTTAGAAAAGAACATTTTGAAAGGGGGGGGGAGAGGATCTGCAGAGGTTCGTTCTTTCTTTCTAACTTTATTCACTTGTCTCACTCACTTGCACATCACAAAAATCTCATGAGGAGAACGTAGGTCCTTGCAGCCCGCATCATATCATCACATTTAAATGGCAAAACAAAGTCACCGTAAAACCTATGTGGGGCAGCCTAAGACAAAAAAAACCCAACTCTGTGGAGACTTCATGGTGGGTTCAAAGGGAGGACAATGCCAGTTATAATGCTCTTGAAAGAAATCAAGGAAAATAAGCACAATTGACTGCACTCCGGGTGGGGTTTTCAAAAGTGCATTAGGTTGTTAAGCACCCAGATTTTCAATGGGCGTTGTCGCCTAACTCACTTAGGTGCTTTTGGAAATGCCAGCCTACAACGTTGCTTAGGAAATACAAATACACACAATGGAACTTCTGAATTCCAGAAGGAGGTAGCACTGATGGGGTCCAGGAGATTTCTTACCAGAGAATCTATCCATCCAGCTGCCTAATGCACCATACCACCAGGAATGTATTTCACCAGGAATGTCAGAGGCCTGGTCTACACTACGACTTTAATTGGGATTTAGCTGCGTTAATCCGAATTAACCCTTCACCCATCCACACTACAGAGCCAGTTAATTCGAATTAAAGGGCACTTAAAATCGATTTCTGTACTCCACCTCGACGAGCGGAGTAGCGCTTAAATCGATTTTGTTAATTCGAATTAGGGTTAGTGTGGCCGCACACCACCGAATTACTGTGGTTAAAGTAATGGGGTAGTGTGGCCGCACACCACCGAATTAATGTGGTTAAAAACCGAATTAATGTGCTTAGTGTGGCCACGCACAATCGAATTTATACAACCTGTTTCCCAAATTCGAATTATCTAAATTCGGATTAATCCTGTAGTGTAGACATACCCTGAGTGTTTGGCTGGAGGACTACTTTGTGTGATCCTTTACACACATGGAATTATATTTGATCTGTGAAGAACCAGCCAGTTTCTGCATTGCTCAGTTGCTGCAAAACTGGCGGAGGCCGTCTGGAGTGAGAACGCTCTGATGCTTGTGTTTCTGGCATTATCCTCAGCGTTATTTTAACGAACTTGTCGACGTCCAATTCCCTTGCTCTCAGCCTTTCCTTTACGGTGACATTTGCTCACGCAAACGGAGCAATCTCCATGTATCACTCTAATGCCAGTGTCCCTGGTCTAAACCTCCCTTCCTCAATTAACACTCATCTACCACAGACTTCAAAGAGCGGAGAGCAGGTTTTGCGGAGTAATGCAGAAACTGACACGGACCCACTGCTAATGCCAATTTCCTTGGCAATAACCTTTCTGACACTACCGGCAAGAAAGTGGAATGATTCTTGCCTTCAAATGCTCACTCAACTCTTACTTTGCCTTTTTAAAGTCCTGTTTTCAGCCAACTCACCAGAACACTCTCTCCTGCCCTCAGTCACCTCTGCCCACCCCAAATGATCCCTTCCTCTCCTCAATACTCAGTGGCCGAGTGCAGGCAGTAAGGCAAAAACCAGCCCAGTCACTGCGTTAAACGGATCGTTTTCAAACCAGCTGCTAACATTCTACAGGTCACGTATTGATCCTATTGAAGTCAATGGCAACATTCCCTATGATTTCAAAGGGCACATGAGTTTGCTTGACATGTTTATGATAAACATCTTTAAATGCTTTTTTTATTATTATTATTATTATTTTTTAAAACAGGGTACAGATTTCCATAGAGCTTGTCTAGTCTGTGCCAGCTCACGTGTAAAAGCATAAAGGGGCTTAATGAAGTGTTTGTGGAAGGAACTTGATTCATACAGTAGCGCTAGGTGGACATTTGGTTGGTATCTTAAAACTCTGAGTTCCAAGGTCATTTGGAGCAGAGTCAGGCCAATGCTTTTGAGCAGCCCATCATCTCTCTTCAAATATTTAGCTCTGGGTGGCCCAGTCAATATTTTGGTCAGTTTGGGCCCCCAATCCAGTGTCCACCAATCCAATGTCACCGCTCGAGCCATTTGTTTATCAAGAACACCAGCAGGTTTTTCGGTGCTATTGTACTCACTCAGGCCTGTTGCATTCTCGAACGGCGGTTTTTATGCCACCACCACAGGTTCTTGAACAGCTTCCAAAGGGACTCCACGATCCCCACGCTCCATCGGTTACCGGCGCCTCTCGCTCCTTGGGGACACACACGCCATACTTGCAGTGCTGTACGCAAAAGAGAGCATCACAGAACGATTCTTTTCCGTTACAGAATATTGACGTTTTAGAGGATAGCAATCAACATTTCCCCTCGGTTTTCAGCCCATGTTCATTTGTCTGCCTTTTCTCAACAACTACATTCACAAGGAAAGGAACATTTTACAAAAGCAGCCTTAACTTACTGTTCATCACACTGGCTCAAAAACTTGGGAAAACATTTTTAAATGCTAGAGCGCTTAAAATCCCCGGTGTCTGATCCTGCCTTCACCGAAATCAAGGATGAAACTCACATGTCCCAACTCCGGAAACCACTACACGCTTAGCTTTCGCTTTAGGCACATGCTTACGTGCTTTTCTGACTTCAGTAACAATAAGAGCGGGTCACGTGGCATTATACTGCTCTGCATGAGATTAGGGTGAAGCAGCAGGTTCAAAACTTTTGCATCCTTAAAAGGTGAAGACCAGACAGATTGCAGAGGCCAGAAGAGTGATTTATAGAGAAACGATAACAGCTACACCAGCCAAAAAATACCCCCGTTTACTGATCCTGAACTGTAAAGCAACACTCGTAGTGACGACTTTTGAAAAAAAGCTACTTATCTGATTTTCTGGCTACAGGCTGAGAGCCACATTGCATCAGTAAAAAGAGACAGATGATCAGGAATATAAAGAAAGAAAAATCTCCTGAACTGTAGAAACTGCCAGAATAAAAGGTAAGGGAAAACATAAGAAAAGTAGGGCAATAAAAACGGCAAATAAAAACAAGTGGGGTTTCTCCGCCCCCAGAATACTTTTTCCACATCACTTTACTTCCCCAGGCCTATTTCCACGTAAAAGTTTTGTTGGCATAGCGACGTCAGGTCCGAGTGTGAAAAACAAAATCACTCCCCCTAACCCACGCAGCTGTGCCAGCAAAAGCCCTAGAGCAGATGCAGTTATACTGGCAAAAAAAGCCTTTTGTGGGAGTAGCTTATTTTGTCCAGGGAACTGGTATAAGCGATCCTGGCAAAAGCACGTCTTTTGCTGGTCTAAGCTGTAGGTTTGCCGTAGGTTAGGAGGGTTTGCTGGTAGAGATATAGGGGCATGGCAAACCCTCTCTAGTGTGGCCAGGGCCTGAGAAACATAGGGTCAAATCCACTGAATTCCATGGTGACACTTCAAGGGGGCCAGGCTTTCACCCCTAGTGAATTTTGCGTCGCCATAGCCCCTAGAAGCCCTACTCGGTGACCAAGACCCTATTGTGCTTTTTAACATGGAGGGTAATTAACCACTGACATAACTCGCCCAGGGAAGTGATACATTCCTCATACAATTGGTGCTGTTCATTGGAGACGGGATGTCTTTCCAAAAGACATTCTCTGTCTAATCCAACCACAAGTTACTGGGCTCAATAAATGCTCCCCTGCAGAAACTACTGGGTCAAATTCTACAGCCCGGGCTATGCAAGGGGTGAGACAAGGTGATCATAATGATCCCTTCTGGACTTAAAATCTATGAACGTGGCTATTTGCTACATCCTATTTTTACATTAAAAACAAACACTTCAGAGCCTACAGTGTGGGGGATGGGAAAGGAGGCAAAAGCGAAGGCTACCAGTTTGTCTGCAGCACATCCTGTTGCCTTGGAGTACAGAAGGGGTTTTTGAATAACGGCTGCAGATCACCTAGGCTCCAACATCTAAGAAGAGTGGGATGAAATAGGAGCTTGATCCTGAAAACACTTATGTACGTGAGTAGCTTTACGCAACCAAGTAGTCCCAGGCCTTGTCTACACTATGGGGGGAGATCGATCTAAGTTACACAACTTCAGCTATGTGAATAACATAGCTGAAGTCAATGTACTTAGATCTACTTACCGCGGGGTCCATGCTACGCGATGTCGACTGGAGACACTCTCCCGTCGACTCCCCTTGCAGGTCTTGTTCAGGTGGAGGACAGGAGTCGACTGGAAAGCGATCAGCGGTCGATTTAGCAGGCTTCACTAGACCCACTAAATTGACCGCTGATGCATCGATCGCCACGTGTCCAGCCCCTGGTAAGTGTAGACAAGTCCCCAGTTACTTGTGTAAAACAATTCACATTCATAAGTGTTTGAAGGATTGCAAGCTAATAGCCTGATCGATGCATTTCTTATTTGGGAGTGCTTAAAGTATTTGAATGTTTAAAAAAAATTCCACTTTATTGGCAATAATGTTAAATGTGATTCTGGTTCAGCAGTCAATCTCTATTCGTGGGAAATCAATGGGATTCCCACAGGTGCTTAATTGCTTTGGGGCCAAAAATAAATCAAACACCCTCCGTCGACATCGTTTGAGATCCATGGATTTTTCAGCGCCACTGCAACATGTACGGCTATTCCTCTGACATCGCGACAGCTTCTTGAAACTCAAGGATCTGGCACAAAATTCTTCTCAGAAAGTGACGGTCCCTGTTTCTGGGCATTTATAAAGGGATCAGCAAGAGGTTTCATCCTAACAGATGGAGCCTGTTTTCCGTGAATGCTTGGGTGCAAAACACTCTGCATATTTCAGACAGCGAGGAATGTTGGTACCTTCAAAGTCACTATGATGCAATTTTTTTTGCCCTTTAAAAATGGCTGATTAGTTTTATATCACATTTCAGGCACAATCTGAGCACTTTCCTGAAGCAAAAACCTATTGAAATCACTGTTTGTTCGCTGTCTGCGCAGGGCCTAGCACAATCCGTGACCAGTGCTGTTAGGTAATAATTCTGCAGGAATAAAGACTGTAGGTGTAGAACAAAAATGATCATACCTGGATTGAGAGTTTAATGCCAGAAATACTAATAGTTTACAGAAATATTTTGCAAACAGTAACTCATGAATCTTCATAAATAGCCCCATGAGGTTGCGGAAGCAATGTGATCATTCCCTTTTCTCAGACTATTGTTGACCGTTTAATCTGGCCTCCTGGCTAGCTCCGGCCAGCAAATTCACCTAGAAAAGGAGTGGCCAACCTGAGCCTGAGAAGGAGCCAGAATTTACCAATGTACATTGCCAAAGAGCCACAGTAATACATCAGCAGCCCTTCCCCCCCAGTCCCAGTGTCTCCCGCCCACTGGCAGCCCCACCGATCAGCGCCTCCCGCTCCCTCCCCGCACCTCCCGATCAGCTGTTTTGTGGCATGCAGGAGGCTCCAGCGGGGAGGAGTGAGGGCACGGCAGGCTCCGGGGAGGGGACAGGAAGAGGTGGAGTGGGGGCAGGGCCTGTGGCAGAGCCAGGGGTTGAGCAGTGAGTACCCCCCCGGCACATTGGAAAGTTGGCACCTGTAGCTCCACCCACGGAGTCGGTGCCTGTACAAGGAGCCGCATATTAACTTCTGAAAGGCTGCATGGGGCTCTGGAGCCACAGGTTGGCCACCCCTGACCTAGAACATCCCATGTGTGGATGAGCAAAGCGAGGCACAGAAAGCTCTTTGCACAAGCCCACAGATCCCAGGAATTCTCGCCTCTCTGTTCTGTGCGCCGGCCATCTGGGAAATTCAATGTTAAACCTAAAGAAAATGTAGGGCCCAATCCAACTCCCATTAAACATCAATGGTGGTTGGATACGGCCTTTAAACCGGGCAGTTGTAAGCCTATCATAAAGGCCTTGCAATGAAAATGCTGACACACCCGTAACTAAAGTGGCACTGCTCAAATATTTAGACAAATCACAAACCATTCATCAAATTAATGCTGTGTCAACAAACATTGCTAGATTACTGCTGAGGCCGGACTGGCACGAAAAGAAACCGAAACGGAATGGTCTCCATGGTAATGGAGTCAGAATTTGCTGATGCACCCTGGTTTCTCTGGCACGCTGGGCTCAGTTCATTTTATATTTAATTTGTGACTGATCTCTACAGCCACAGAGAATCCGTGGGGAGTTTCAACAATTTTTGCAGAACTATCCAGTCAAAACTCCATGGAAAAGCTGTGTAAAATCTCAACAAAAAGTCTGAAAAAAGATTTCCCCGCTTACTGTCCCTGACCAGGTTTTATTCATCCTGAACGACTCCATGTCTTCTCTCTCACCTGCACATACACATCCCACACCACGCGCTGCAAAAACGCGGGACCAAATCTTTCTCCATTAGCAAGAACATTGCACACGCACTGGCTAACTGTGCAGGATGAGGAGTGGAACTGGAGAAATATAGTCAGGTTTCCGAAGAGGGCTAGTTTAGTATGGCACCGGGGGTACAGAAATGCAAACCAGGGCCAGCTGCTACCACGCTAAACCTATATAAACACTGGCCTCTCAGCATGCTTAAGAGAGATCTCTTTCCTCCAGCGCTGCCTGCCTGCCACTTGCTAATGAAACAAGTTGGTCCTAGGTGTGTTTGGCTAGCTGCTCACTATTTGGGATGGGGTCTATTTGCTGGATTCATTTGAAGATGTGCTTGTCCACTAGTCTACAGCATGCCCTGGGTTTGCCTTCCTCTGCACACTTGATTACCAAGGGCCATATTGTTTAACAAGAGCCTGCCGCAGTACAGCCTGTTTTATTAAAAAGTCCTACGACGTCTGTTTCTCCATTGAGGGCCCAATCCTGCCATCTGATGCATACATCACTGCCACTGACGTTTCGAGAGTTTAAGCACTGCAGGATGGGGCCCTGTCCTAGTTGTTTTCAGAGGCACACAGAGTCAGCAGCTGTCATCAAAGTAAAGAGACACGTGGCATCAAGATGGCAGTGCTGTCCCAGAGGAGAGACTTCCTGCAGAAATGTTGACTTCGGCAGTGAAGTATCCAGCCACACACAGGCTTGGCACTGATGACCCAGTGAAGCAGACTGAATAACTTACGAATATAGGCAACTAACAGAGCTTGACATGACTTACAAGCTTCACATCTGATGGTTAAGGACACGGAACTCTGCCAGGAAATTACACTATTGATTATGTTCAGAATTTCAGGATTTGTGGTCATAAATAGCACATCATTAAAGAAAGAAAGAAAGAAAGAGAGAGAGAGAGAAAGATGTTCCACTTTAATAAACAGCAA